GACAGCGTGTAAGGCTATAGGTTCACACATTCCCGATTTTAAGCCGAATCGCCACGAAGAGCAATTCTTGAGTAAATCGGGGATGGTTCTTGACTGCCTCGGGATGATTCTGTTTGCTCGGTGAAAGATCGTTAAAGATCGGGAAGCACCCCGACAAGCAGTTAAAAGTAAAATATAAACATCTACGCAACCATTCTTTAAAATTTGGGCATTCTGTGCTATTCTTGCGAGAACCATGCGATAGTGAATTTCGGGGGTCAAAATTTGGTCTCGGAAAAATTGAGCACGCTGAAGGCTAGTTGTGATCCAGCGGCACACTGGTTCACATTCTGCGGACGAGTAAAGAAACATCATTTGTGTATTGATGCCGTGTTTATTATGTACCACACACACACAACGTGTACGGTGCATTGAATAGACACGACTTGAAATAGTAAGTTTAAGGGTATTCTACAAACTGTCCGTTGCGTCCGATGTAAACAACAAGGTTTTTTTTCTTTTCTTGGGAACGGTAAGACATTGGGTCTGTTCCCTTTCACCCAGACCTTTGAAATAGGATAAGTAAACATTCCAAAACATGAAATTTTGGGGGATTTCAGGCCGTAATGTCCCTTTACATGGGCGTCGCCAAGATTTTTTTCCAGGGGGAGGGGGGGGGGGGCAAAGCACATTTTCCCCAAAAGTCCTTACCTTTTCCAACATATCTTCTCAATTTATCATTTTTCCGAGTGTGGGCAGGGGAACATTTGCCCTCCCCCCCCCCCCCCATCCCCATCAAATTAACAGCAATATGGCTTGCACCTCTTTTTCCTTTTGTTTTTTTTTGTTTTGATTCCCTTTTCGGCGTGTAATTGGCTTTAGGTCGTGCGACGCCCATGCCCCGTTCACCAGAAGAGAACACTGTTTTTCCTTTGCGTTTACTGTAACACAATTTAATGCCCAAAGCGTAAATTTGCTTCAGGGCCATACTGCACATTTTGTACACACATGTCGCCTTACAATAAATGATCCAATTACCGACTAAGTGAATGGAAGAAAAAAGGCTGTAATTGGGGACAGTCCCGCACAACAACTTAATTAGTCCATTCTGGGAATTGCTTTATGTAATTAAGGATACATGTATCGCGATGGAAGTAAAAAAGAATCTATTACAGGGTGGCGTGACAGTAACGACAGCAGGAACAGGCCATGCATATGACATGAATTATGTGCAGCAAGACTCTGATGAGGATACATAATTGACACTATATGCAACCGGGTAATAAATTTAACACACAAGCATGTACTAGCACGTTTGTTTATGGTTTAAATTAAGGATTTTCTATTGTTCCTCTTCCCTTTTCCTTTGTTTATACTCTAACTTTTTCACAACAGCTCTCATTGGTTTTGTACATGTTTTCTAACCAAGGAGTCCTCGATTTGGTTCCTGTCCTCAATAAGCCATTTGCGAGTTAAATTTGAATAAAATCTGGAACGCTGACTTAATACAATGCTTTGCACGTTTTAACCTAGCATTCTCCCGACCAAAGAGACTGTTACTATATCACGTGATTCGGGGCAAGCCTTATGCTAGCAACCCCCAGCTCCGGCATGGTCTGGTGTCTTTGTGCCATTCTCACCCATTGTGAACGATGTATTGGTGCTGAGCGTCTCTTACGTAACTATGCAAGAGCTTGCCCCGAATCTTGTGATTAGCAACAGTGTCTTTGGTCTGGAGAATTCAAAGTTAAAATGTGCCAAGCATTCTGAGCAAGTCATTGTACCAGACGTTTTTCAAATGTAAATCCCACGGGGTATAGGTTACTCGCAAATGGCTTATTCATCGATGATGTTGCACGTGTCACGCGTGTGTCCTCGATTTACACGATAAACCTATTCATACACTTTTGTTTTACTATACTCGAGGACAATGCTTTGTGTTTCCCTTTGTCCCTGTAATATAACACTCTTCCCTAGACTAAGCACACAAACTTACTACGGAGGACCGTTTCCAACAAACAGAGTTGTAACGAGTCACTGTTTTTTGTGACTCGAGTCGAGTCGAGTCATTTTAAAGAAGTGACTCGAGTCGAGTCGAGTCATTAGGTCAACAAGGTCGAGTCGAGTCGAGTCGAGTCACAGAGTGTGGTCGAGTCGAGTCGAGTCGAGTCAAGTATTTAGCTCGAGTCAATTCGAGTCACAAATATTTGAACACTAAATTACAATAAAAAGCAACAAACACAAGAGAGAAAGAATACAAGGCACCAGTCTATTACGGAAATCCAAAGACATAAAGTATGCTGTATGGTACCCAACCAACAGTTTCCATTGCTAGCTCACGTCACAGATAAGAAGATGTGAAACTTCGGTCTTATAACCGGTTTGGCTTCGGGTCTAGATTTTGTTGTTCGCTGATCGCTGACAACGTTAAAACCTAATTGCATTATACAAAACTGTTTCTGATTATTTAAAGGTGGGCCCGTCCGTATCCATTTTTTTGTGTGAAATCGGGACATGAATCTAGCCAGCGTTCCACCAAGAACTTCAAAATCGCCCGAAACCAATGATGAAACCACGGATTGAGAAATGCGTTTTAAGTCTGGTTCCGGGTTTAGCATTACATGCTATAGAACCACAAGGTGGGAGTCCGCGACACGGTGTATGTTTGTTGTTTCATTATGGAGGAAGGAAACAGACTGCCGCTGTATATAAACGTACATTATTCGCAAACATTAACGTGACGTGAACAAAAACTGGCAACGCGAACGGCGCAGCGTAAGTCATTGCAAATATTTTTCGCAAGTAAGTTTTGCTTTTATTTTGGGACTCGAGTCTTATTAGCCTTCCTCGAGTCGAGTCGAGTCATTCTGATGAGGGACTCGAGTCGAGTCGAGTCATTTGCTCGCAGTGACTCGAGTCGAGTCGAGTCATTTACCCGTCGGGACTCGAGTCGAGTCGAGTCGCCAAAAAATGTGACTCGAGTCGGACTCGAGTCGAGTCATTGACTCGAGTCATTACAACTCTGCCAACAAAAGACCCAACTCCCGAGGACTGAAGAGATCTGTTGTTCTCCCTTTGTGTTTCGGTCCTTGACGCTTATGTAGAACACGTACACACAATTGTGCATACATATATGTACATGACTACATGTGTACTACATGTACATATGAGCTTCTAAAACTAATACTTCACAATGAAGGTGTCTTTAATAAGGTTTTTTTTGCAATTCCATGCACTTGAAACAAATATAAGCAGCAGCCAAAAATCTATTCACGCTAACTCTGTCGACCAAACATGAAAGAATCCCAAACGTCTTTGGCATCCTTTGTTCTTCGTGATGTGATGTGAAGTCAGGATCGTTTTTTTCTAAAAAAATATATATTTTAGAAACAAGCAAGCCAACTTGTTATTTGCTGAAGTTGTATTTGTGATGAGCCCGAGTGTGAGTTTATGCAGGTACATGGACATGTAGTAGTCGAGTATGAGTGCAAAAGTACCCCCACAATGGTTATATTGGGTGCGTTTGAGTAGTTCAACTACTTTGTGCACAGAGTTCATTTTTTTTTTTACATCACAGGCAGAAGAGAAAAGGGGACTCGCACTACATTAGTACTGAGTATATAACACATATAACAAGCTTGCAGAAAAGCCAAAATATTATCGTTTTAACAGAAGACACTTTTTTTATGAACTGTTAAAAACCCCGCCCAAAAAGAGCCATTTCTTTTGTAACTGAACAAAAACAGAACAGCCCATGCAACAATTTCTAGAATTAATCAAAAATGGTCCACCCTTTCCCACAAATTAGGGAAAGTCCCTCGCAGAAACGGCGATCATCATCAATTCAAGGAACCACTTAAGTATTTTCAGTACGTCGCTCCCGCTAAATTGCATGGTACACAACTCCCAGTGAAATCCTGTCTCGTTAACGAGGGACAGGCCCTTCAAAACACCATGCTCGTTAATGCAGAGAAATGAGCGGCACTTCAAACAAATTGTTACTGCAAATAATGCATGGCACAAGATTTGGCCCCAATAATGCTGCTGGTTAATGACTCTTTCATGGAAAAAAACCCGGGTTGACAAGCTAGAAATGTATACAAAAAATATGCTATATGGAAAAAGGAAGGCCGGTAAAAGCCTTTCTGTAAAAATGGACAACAGTGACAATGCATGTTGCATGAAACTTTGACAGCTGTCACACAAGGCTGCAGACGGTTTAGTGGGGCAGATAGGGGAACTATTTGGGGGACATGTGCCTTTGATGATACAAGCAAGGCATTTGGCCCACAGTCAGAGTACGTCTTGAGAAAGATATTTGGCTATCGCAGTTTTGTCCTTTGCAAAAATATAGGTAGAATAACTAACAATTTTCAAAATTTTCAAAATGGCTGCCATTGCCTGTTATTCAACTCTTTCAAAGGACCATTCTGCAATGGCCTTATGAATAGCCAAACTATCTTTCTCATGACATACTCTGACTGTGTGCCAAATGCCATGCTTGTATCATCACAGGCACAATCCCATCACCTATCTGCCGTACTACAGTTTGGCATTTCAGTGGCACAGAATATTTTTTTAAGATTTCAAATTTTGAAAGTTTTCCCACTGGAAATATTTTCCACCTGACAACTTTGCGTTTGGAATTGGGGGGGGGGGGGGGGGCTAATCCCCGAAGACACTATATTAATTTGCATGTGGTCCATGTTTTCTCTGTACATTTTACGCATACAGCTGGTACATCTATAGTCGCTTTTATTTTTTTAAATTTTTTTGGGGGGGGGGGGTGGGGAGGTTTGAGCATGTCAAAATAATACATTTCTAAAAGTTGGTAGGGAATCTTCCCCAAAACCTCTGCCTGTGCTTTTTTTTTAGCGAACCAAAGCTGCATTAGTGGGGAGGTGCTACAAAAGCTTAGGGTGGGGGTGCGTTCTAGTGGGTATGCGTTCTATTAGGAGTCGGTAAGGGTTTGCAAAACTGCCACAATTTACCGTCAATTTCAAAATTTAGGGACTTAGCACCTTTATCCCCTGTAATGCTGTGTGCTGACTTTCTGCCCTGCTGGCCCCAGACTTGGCTACAGCATGGACTTTGTCTGCATGCTAGTCCCTTGGTCACTATACTCAGTTGAGTCCTATGAAAACAAAAATAATGGTATGATGTGAACCAGAGTTGTAACAAAGTCATCACAAGCCTGCAATCATTTTGTTCCCAGATCAAGTGAAAAGCTATTGCAATGATTATGATCGGTGGCAATGGTAGTGGGCGTGCCTTTACGGTTAGTATCAGTGTGTCATTACAGCAAGATACAAGCAAGGTGACCGTAAGGTCAGAGCCAAATTCTGCTAAATGCACATCAAAAATCTGTCAGATTTATCAAAAATCTGCCAAATTCCCCAGAATTATTCGAAATACACTATAAACACTTAAACTCACATGCAGATTGGTAGTATTGCCTTAATTAAGGTTCAAATTACATTATAAACAATCTATAGTCACATAAAAATGTTATGATATTGGTAAATTTCGGGCAAAACGCGGATCCGGCCACGACGAAGTCCGTTTCCCAGTAAACCTCAGCACCTAGACCAGCCAACCTGCCCCTTTATGCATGGGTTTGTTTGAAAGGATTGAAGCTTTTTTAAAACAAATGTACACTTTTTTTGTTCAAATTTGCTGTTTTTCTGTCAAATAACCATTTTTGCAGAAATCTGCCAGAAATCTGCCCAAAAAATTCATTCTGTCAAATTTTCTGTCAAACTCGTTTTTTTTTTACAAATTTTCTGTCAAAGTTAGCCGAAAATCAGCTAAAACGGTCACCCTGGATACAAGTGTGTACAGTGAGCTAGTAGCTTTACGGTGTAAACTGCAACTTTCGCGAGCGTCATAAACGCGAAACATGGTTTGTTTTCCCATGTTGCCTGGTTTTCATTTTGAAAATTCAGCACAAATGACATCCAAAACCTTTCTTTTTCATTGTCTGAGAAGTTACTTAGTTATTTGTAAAGTTGGTTACGTTTTCCAGATCCCATAATCTGGAACCGGTTCCTGACAACAACGGTCGGGTACTCGGTTCGGATGCACAGCCAGTTACGCAATGGTATTCATTTGTCAAATGTTGTTCTTCCCCCCTTATATGACCATACTTGTGATTGACTCCATTACAACAACCGAAACAGTACTTGTGTTAAACACACCCAAAACAAAAAACAAAAACAAAAAGGGCAAGTAACACCTCTTAGAACTAAATGCACTGGATCAGGAGTTTTAATGAGAGTCGTTCAAAACTAACAGAAACAATAAGACGGTTCATTATTCTAGCTGTGCATGCATACGCACATCAAGAAATGACGATTTTCCTATCCGGACAAACCGTTCGCGGTATTTTGTATGGCCCAACTTTTGTGCGAACGAAAGTTCCCACATTCTTTTAGAAAACATGAACAATTGCAGAGTGCAGATTCGGTTACCCCGTCCCCATAGAACCGCATTTATCCTGAAGAAAATATCATGGAATCTTGTTTGCACAGGTGCAGTTTGAATATAGATTTGGCTCATTTGTATTCACTTTTCTGTCTTCCAAGAAAATATCGAAGCCATTCAAGCCAATTAGGCAGCTTTTTATTTATCCAACGCCAGCCAAATATTCCTCCCTTTCAAAAAAAAAAATTATAACTCACTCATCCATCTCCAACATCTTAAACACTTTCCATCATAAAACCAGACACAGACATTAATGCAGAATTCCCTTGGGTGGTTTTGATGTCCCAGATAATCTGGATTATTTTACAGATGCCTCGGAAGCAAAGTTTACCCAGCTGACAAAAATATGCCAGCTGGACCAGCCCCCAGTGCACTGACATCTCTGCACTTTTATCAATGATCTGAAACGTGGACTCACGTTCAGCTTGATCTCGTATTTTGTGATCCAGATTCAAGTAAAAACTGCAGTGACGATGATTCAGACTCAGAGAGTCCAGACTTCAAAACTGACTAGTGTATGATTTCAAAATTTAAAATCTAACAGTAAACATGGACACAAAATACGTCAATGCCAGGTTACTCCCAACCAATAGAATAATCCATGATCACTGTATGCACACGAGGCCCCCATCAATGGTGAAAGCATTGCACCAACTATTGTACATGAAGCGGCCCCCTTGACTATCTGAACAATAGCTAGCGCGTTGCTTAAAGTCGGTTCATACTTCATGCGATTGCGGAGCGAAGCGAAGCGAAGCGAAGCGAAGCAAAGCGAATTGATGTCATGAAATGTTCGCTGCGAAATTTGCCGGAGTTGAAGTATGTTCAACTTTTACGAATTAGCAGCGCGAATATTTGCCATGACGTCACAAAGTCACGCTTGCTTTCGCTTTCGCGCCGAGTATGAACCGGGCAGGAGGCCTTTGTGATACAAGTGATAGCATTTAAGGGATTGTTCTATATTTGCTGAGAAGTTTGTGCAGAGACTTCTTTTGTTGTACTACTTATTAGCAAATGCTGGCATGCATTTGTGACTGGTTATACTGACATCGTCTTTGTGAAATACGGTAGAATAAGGCTAGTAGCAGGAAAAGCACTGGGCATGGGTTCTGGAACTAAATAAAGCATTAAGGAGGGTCTAGGCCTATTTGTACGGACAATTTGCATAATTTCTGCGCTTTATTCATTAATTTATTAATACTTTATACCAAGTACTGGTAGCACATGCAATGGGAACTACAATGTAGCAGTAAATCAAGCTGTTTATTTGAAGCAGATGCGTCCTGCAAAAAGCTGTAAATAAGTTATAAGCCCATGTCTGCAACACAGTAATAACCATATGCAGGAGTAGTATGAGACATTTTATCATAAAGCGCGTGGGGAGAGCAGGGAATGAAATAATAATGTTGAAAAGGTAATCAAATGTGATTGATTTTCCTCATGTGCCCAAGATTTTCAGAGATGCCTACAATTTTTTAACGGGGTTCCACAGAAATCTCAATATGATATTCACCGATTTTTCCATGACATTTCCAGGAAAACAAACTAGGTTTTCCATGACCAATTCCTACGCTGTTTTTGGCATTTTACAATACATTGGCCAGTAATCACAATCAGGCAAGGGACACCACTCCCTTTAAATATTCCAGTTAGACACAAGACCAGCACCAAATACACATCACAATGCAGCATTAGAGGGCCATGCAATGTTATACAAATAATGAATGTTTGTGAGTGCAATGGTAAGAATAATTTCATGACGTGACAGATGAAATGTTCCATTCCACGAGGCGAAGCCGAGTGCAATGGAAATTTCATCTGTCACCGAATGAAATTATTCTTTCCATTGCACGAACGTGAAACATTCATTATTTGTTTTATATAACACCTGAATAAATCCTTGTCATCTGATTGGTTGACTTTTAATAGCCAATTTATTCAGGTTCAAAACTGCTGAAAAGTTCGACAAATTCATCAAGTTTATATAAATGCAAACTGTTCAACAGGTTGAGAACAATCATATTCAATTTATCTCGATTTGAAACAGCGCCACCCCCAGCAGCAGTGACACCCTGCAATGGAAGTTCTATTCACCGTGCAACAGAACTTCCATCGCACTGTGTGCTGCGCGCCACGCGCGCCGTGCGTTGGTATGAATAATTCAATGACATGTGATCAACGATCCACCAATTAGATGACGGGGATTTATTCAGGTGTTGTATAAAACTGTTTATGCAATCCTTAAAAGTACACCTTTGTGTCCCATATCACCTATTTTCAATTTTTGTTTTGCCATTTGCAAGGGGTATTTTGGTGCCTTTTTGGTTTTTACAACGTACGCTAATGCAAATTTCCATATTCATGCTTAATTGTGATGTCATTCCGGACAGAAATTTCAACTTTACAGTTATTTCAGCACAAAAAAGTTGATAAAATTTTGGATATTTTGCTGTTGTGAATTTTCTTTTCTTTGGTGATTTGTTGTTGTGTCAGTACACTGCAGTAACCAATGAGCAAACTGTTCTTACAAATGTTGTCAATTAGCAATGTTTGGGGTTCACAATTTCAACAGAAAACCCCTAAACTGCACAGTGTCTTCCTGAAATGACATCACAGCAACAGTGCCCTCAGTTGTCCGGAAAAAGCATGGACAATCTTAAATGGTTTAAATCATATAAATCACAAAAAATCCTAATTAACTCCCTTTGACACCATCTGCACACCTAAACAACATTTATGAACAAATTTTGGAATATTCCTGAACATGCATGGGTCTCGTCATTCCTGTAAATTGAGCTATAAAAAGATCAATTACTATGATTGCCCAAATCCCCATAAAAAGCCCAAATGGACGCCAAACAATTGTTTGATTTGTTGTGGGAGCATTGATTCAAAATGCCGAGGTTCGGTAAAGTCAATATAAATGATTGCCAGGACAAAGCTGCTCAGCCAATGTGGCGCCATTACAAATGCCGGCTATGCGCGCCCACTACAAGTACAACCCTTGCTTTATGCTACGACAGAGCCTTTTCACATCAAATTGAATACGTGATGGCTGAGTACCGAGAACCACTTTTGTTTACGATGATGCGACATCTGGGACCTGGATGTTTGTACCCTTGGAGTGAGGACAGAATGGCATTAGCAGGGACAGCGGCTGTTAAACTGCAAATGTGCGATTTCTGTGTTACAGTGTTTGTGCATCTCAAGGGATTTCCTTGGTTAATAAGGAGGCTGGCGCGCTGTATGAAGTGGCCACATGATCTTGTGCAGCAATGGATCTAACCGAAACATTGTGTAGGATTGGGGAAAGGACAGGGCATAACTCTGAACCGTTAGGGGGGGGGGGGGAGAGACCCACGTGTTGCACAGAGAGGGGTAAAACTTTTTACATCTTGACGTTTTCTTCTGTATTCTGGGGCACCTTTCAGCAGATTTCATGTGTGACATTTTTGATTTGATGAAACTTTTAGCCCTTTATCGACTTTTTTTTCATTTGTTTTAAGTTCCACTAATTTTGTTTTAGATTTCATCATTGCCAAGAGAAATAAGCTTCAATGTATTTTCAAGAAAATAAATCAGGTTCATTTAATCTTTTTTGTGATGATTCAAAAAAAACGAAACGAAACAAAGTTTTGAAGTCATTTAGTACATGTAAGGCATTTTTTTCCCCTTCCTGAAGGCTAGCTTCTCAATAAAACTGACAAATGTGTTAGACCTTGAATACACGTAATAGCGCAAACGAAAGGACATGCCCAAATTCTTCAGGTATCTGGAGAAAATTTGAATCGAGTGAACTAAAACCCATATGTGACCCGCTCAAAAAAAAAAGGGTATTAATGGCGCTATGCATTATCGTATATGGCCCGCTCAAGGTTGAGAGGGTGAACATTTCGTCAAAATGTGATTTTCATTTTTCGTCATGAATGACATCTTATTACCTATTACCTTTATCACAGAAATGTAGATTTCGATGAATAAAGTGAAAAAAAACCCTATAACTGTGAGTGTATCGTGCCCACATCTACAACAGAACCAGCTATTTCAACACCTGGCTTCTCAGTTGTGTAATTCGAACTCCAAGGAAGTAATTAATATGCAAATACCTCATACCGTATCTCCAGAACGGGATTATATACCAAATGAAAGCTTACGTTGCGGGCTTTCCAACCATAACTCCATTTCACTTGTTTGCTACATAATACCCTCTTTTATAGTGCGGGTCACACATTACATCAAGCCAAATGTGCCTGCACTGTTGCCTGGTTGATAACATCATGGAATCATTATTGTTTCATGGTCAAGTATGATCGTCATTATCACTCAACTCACATGGGAGGCCATTTACACAGGAAAAAAAAGACATCCGTTTCACCACAGAGAAGGATCTTAAAAGGATAGTTCATGGTCAAATTAGTCACTAGGCAGTGATGAGAAAGGGGAAGTAGAAGCAGGAAAAACAAGCCAAAGACAACACGCCTTCATGAAGAGAACTATCAAGTCTAGCTTCACAAAGGTTCATATTAATATCAGGGGAAAAAAATAGGTTTCAATCTTTTCAAATAGATGTCAGCCAGTTTTACATGAGCATATTTTCAGTCCGTTTCATCATGGGCATCGCGAGGGGATGCGCAAGGGGGCCCCCCTTCCCCCGGAAAAGCACACACACCAAAAAAAAAAAAAAATCAGGGGAAAAAAATAGGTTTCAATCTTTTCAAATAGATGTCAGCCAGTTTTACATGAGCATATTTTCAGTCCGTTTCATCATGGGCATCGCGAGGGGATGCGCAAGGGGGCCCCCCTTCCCCCGGAAAAGCACACACACCAAAAAAAAAAAAAAAATCAGGGAAAAAAAAGGGGCAAAACAAAAAGTAAAAGAGGCGCAGAGTCATTTGGCTGTTAATTTAATGGGTTAGGGAGGGGCCAAAGGTCCCTTGCCACCTTCAAAAATGATAAATTGAGAATATGCTCGAAAAGTACAGGGATTTGAGGGGAAAATGTGCATTGCCCCCCCTCTAGAAAAAATCCTGGCGATGCCCATGCGTTTAATTTTTGTTGTGCTGTTAGGCAACAAATTAAGCAACTACATGTAACTAGTGAAACATCACAAAATGTAGTAAGTCAACGCAGCATCTAAGGCAAGAAACACTCTCCCTACACCCCCATGAATTCAGGATCTCCAAAAGTGTACAGTCTAACGAATGGTTAACAGAAGCAGCTGCATCTCTTAAAAAAATATTATGTTGCAATGTATTTCTACAACTTTTTAACACCAATTTATGTGGTTCTTTTCTGTTACATCTAGATACAAAATTAATTACAGTAGTGGAGCAAGAAGCATCGTAGTTATGACAGATCATGCGCTATATGTACATGTTGAGTAATAAAACATTATGATTGCTTTGAGGAATTGGGGGGCTGGGGCGTGTGGGGGAGACGTTGGTGGGGGGGGGGGCGTTAGGGGGAGGGAGGGTGAAAGTTGTAAATGATTGAAAACAATCTCTGGTATACCCCATACCTTATTAACTATTAACTTCACCTAACAGTAACATATTTTAGCAACAGTCACTTAAATATATAGCAGCAGTTTTGATTTTCCAAGCTATGTGTGAAATTTCAATAATTGCAGTCACCATATGTAAGCATTAAAGATATAAAGTTGAAGCTGCGACATGTCCTTGCCACAGATAACACCAACCAATGATTTGCCACCACTTTTTGCACAGGTTGCTGCATGCATGCCGTTTGCTTGTGAATGATTTTTCAGGCAATTTGCATGTCACCTTTTACTTTGGAAAAGCATGCAAATGGGTCATTCTTTAAATTTGGGGTCCACATTTTTGCCTGTCCTTGTGACATCTGACATCTATGATTTTATAATTCTGATGCACTCCTTAATGCAGTCGTCCTCCAAGAGTGACTATGAATAGCAAACTATACACTGTACCTACCAACAAATAAAATATTGTTGGAAGTCATTGTCAATGATCCTTGGATGGAAATTATCAAGTTCGGAGGTAACATGGACAGGAAAAATGTCCCACTTTGGACCCTACATTTATAGAATGACAATAGGATGGAACTCTGGGGAAAGCAAAAGTCCAGATGATAAGACTACAAGCAATGCAGGAAATTTTCCCAAGCTAAATGACCCGTAAGATTAAAAACGATACTGCTTTGATTAAACATGTGCTTTCTTATGGAAACCAGGTGGAGATGATGTCCTTTTGTCTCCACCTGGCTTCCTTAAGACAGTACATCAGGGTTCGACCTAAACTTTTTGGTTCACTAGCCAGCCGGGCTACTGAAACAGCCTCTTAACTAGCCCGCGGGCCTTTTCACTGGCCCACATTTTTTTTCTTATCTCAAAAATACAAAATGGCATATTTTCTGGCTCAAAATTTTGTCAGTGTTTTTGATTAACAGATCTAATAATTTAACCCTTCAAAACAGTTGATAAAATTAGACACAAATTGATGGGTTTTCTTTCTGAATTCAATGATTTTATTTCTTCCTGTACGTTCATCTTTGCCGTATCCCAATAATTTTTCACTCGCCACCCGGACTAGTTAAGGAACAGTTTGACTAGCCCGCCGCTGTTTTGACTACGTGTAGCATTTGGCTAGCTACCGCTAATTTTGAACCCTGCAGTACATGTATTTTTGAACCCTGCAGTACATGTATTTCAAATAAAAGTGTGACAAAAGCACATCTCAGGTCTATTGTACATAAAAAAAGCTACATTTCCAATGATATTGCTCTTTTACAATGACATTTAAGCTCGACAATTGGAGAGGATTAATTCATTCCAGCTATGTATGCACTGCTATCTCTCTAGAAGCGATGAAACTGAAGTTATGTACAGTGTACCGATGTTGTTGTCTAATCACTTAAGTTTGAGTCTTGAGTCAGAGTTTTGAGTCACTTGGGTCAATTAAGTCCGAGTCCATGTCTCCAGTCATGTGGGTCAAGTCCGAGTCACAAGTCATCTGATTCAAATTCGAGTCCAAATCACATTGGTATGAAGTGGATGTACTGGTATACGATGGACATGGCCACATATGCAATAATAGTGATGCATTGTAGCGGGAAATACACGGTATGAGCTCAAACACCATTAGTGGCGCGGTACAGTTTGTGTGCTTAAAGGGCCGTGAAATGTAATTGCTTTTAATGCAATCCTTGAAAAGACACGTTTGTGGCCCAATAAGCCCTATTTTTAATTTTAATTTTACCATTTTCAAGGTTATTTGGGTAATTCCAATTTCCATATTCATGAGCAACAGTGTGATGTCTTTTCAGGCCGAAGCCTCCATATTACAGGTATTTCAGCACCAAAAGTTGCCAGAGTTTTGGATATTTCGCTGGCATTTATAAATCTTCTTTTCTTTGGTGATTCATTGTTGTGTCAGTACATGGCAGTAAGCCAATGAGCAATTTTTTCTCACAAAAGTTTTCAATGAGCAAATTTTGGGTTTAAAATGTGAACAGAAACCCCTAAAGTGAACAGTGTCTTCCTGAAATGACATCACAGCAACAGTGCCCTCAGTTGTCCGAAAAAGCATGGACAATTTTAAATGTTTAATACAAGTGCACTTTTCAATAACACTAACCAAAAAGGGATGTCAAACAGTTTTCATACATTTAATAAGAGCAGAAAGTTGCATAAAATATGTTCCTTAGAAAGATTCACTTCATGAACCCTTTAACCTTCGAAGTAACGTTTAACCTTCTTAAGCGCTGCTTAAACATTACTTCGGAAAATGTAAACAATAATGTTTTTAAAAAGGTTTTTTTTTTTGGTAACAAAAATATGTGACTCGCGAGTCATGAGTCACTGTGTCAAGTCCGAGTCATGATGGTCGAGTCTGAGTCCAAGATGCCGATGCGACTCAAGTCGAGTCCGAGTCATGGAAATAGCGACTTGAGACGGACTCGGGTCCCACAACACTGCAACGTACATTGTACACTGCTAATTCTGGAGAATGAGGATGATCATTCATTATGCACGTACCTAACCTGTGATGAAAGCACTAGCTATAAACCTACATGTACACATACCACAGATGCAACTATCATTACTACACATATTTTTTGCAAGCCAAAGCCATGACCAGGACCATTCCATCTTACAGTACCGATACCTTTCAGGCCTCTCAAGAAGCGAGCATTCACTTACAGCATCATTTGCTAGCAGGAAATAGAGGACAAAGCTGACATGAGCGAGCAATTGGCAAAACAGTACGGACAAACTTACCTACTCAGCCTCAAGGCAATGGAGGAGCTGTCTATTGTTTTTCCAGAAAATAATGCAAATGAAACCAGCAAATAAAACAACAGAAACCAGCAAAGGGGGGGGGGACGTTACCTTTGAGTGGTTCTCCACCCTTTCAAATCTCCAAAATGTTGTTCGGGGTAAGATCTTTTGAAGTTTTTGCTCTTTAAACACGAGATAATAACTTTAAGGTCCAGAGTCCAACCAGATGAAGTCTTAAGTCATCACAAGGCAATCACAAGTCATTACCCAACCCTCTAGGCCCTTTTGGCTAGGAGCCATCCTCAATCCTGCAAAATCCTCAGATTGCCACCATGTAAAAATTGGATTCAGCCTCAATCCTCCAAACTCATCAGTTATTTCTTGATTTTGTTTCAGTGGAGGAGTGAATATTGCCTTCTCAATCCTCCAACAATCACTGTTATTGGGTTGAGGCAGTGCCGATGACATTCAGAAGCAGTGAGGATGATATCGAGCATAATGCAGGGCTCAATTAGGCCTAGACACACTGGTTAGCACTGTATCGATAGGCCTATTACTCGATTATTCCATATTTCATCTTAACAGTTTTGAAATAATGTGACAGAGCTGCTCAACTCTAATAATTGGCAAATTATGAGCAAAAAAATTGAATGATTTGGTCTGTTTGAGTGCAATTTGTTGGCTTTTGAGTAGAATTCCACCAGACTCATATTTATTTATCCCAAGACGGTAGACATTTTTTTTGGGCAAAGAATCTTCCTGAATATTCTAAACTTCACAAGTGCAGGGAGACATAAGACCTTTGTTCTGATTCTTTTTTTAAGGGGTATATGAAAGTCCCATGTTCAAGAAATATTGCCTGGGCTCTGCCTTAGTTGATCTTGGAACATCCTTCCAAACCTCCTGAGGAATTTTTTGAAGGATCTAAGAGGGTCAAGGTTAAATTTTCTTGCAAATTAATGTACCAGAACAAATGTTTCTGACAGTCTTCTTGACAGTAAACATCCATCAAGGCCAAGCTGCCTTGGCAGCTGCTTTGCCAACTTCATCAATGTAATCTCAAGGTATCTCATAAATTATGTCACTCTGCCTTAAAATGCCAATCCACCCTTGCGATTAACATTGCTTCATGTGTGATTTGTATTGATGATAATGTATGGATAGAAACACCAAACATTGCTTGGGCAAGCGCTAAGGTTCTGGGGTTTTTTTTCTCGTGCAAATTGTGAGGGAATTGGGAAGGCTGGGAAGGGATGTGTGGCTCAAGCAGTGAGCACTGTACTGGCACCACATTTTTTTTCCATAAACAGGTGAAAACACTATTATTTCACATATCGGTACGACAAAAATGTACATGCAGTTCACAATAATTAATTTTTTTATCAGTAACTCAATTCCAAAAAAAGCAGGGGAAGTGATAAGTATAATTTGAGATTATTTTCTTGAACTGAGCATGTACCGGTATTTTTCTGGCTGAATTAGAGCTCAGCATCATAAAAAAATTTCAATCTGTTTTTTTTTTTTTTTTTTACATCAATACATATATGTATTGCCAAAGCACTTTAAGAAGGTAAAAAAGTAAAGTCTGTCACGAGCCAGCGTTTATCTCCGGTTTCAGTAGCATGAAACGACTGAGAATTTTTCTATTCCCCCTGGATGGGATGATAGTCCATCGCAGGTTACTCCCCAGCTAATGCTGGTACCCATTTATACTCCTGGGTGGAGAGAGGCAAGTAGGGATGAAGTGCCTTGCCCAAGGACACAACATATGGCCAGCGGCTGGATTTGAACCCCTGACCCTCTGATCATGAGTCACAACCCTAACCACTAGTCCATACTATATGAAGGTAGTGGTTAAAAAAGCCGGCATTTCTTAAACTATTCAGTGCATTAAAACAAAGTTGAGAGAAAGTGGTAATAGCTTACCTCCATTGTATGCTGTTCCAGTGTCTAAAAAAGTAAGGAGGGAAATTTTTTTAATGTAAGTTCTTTTTATAAATGTATGTACTTATAAGCTTAAGCATTCAAGTCTGAGGGAAATTTTCATTTTGGAGGCTGAACATGCGAGCAAAAATGCAGTTCCTGGATTTTATAACTAGTACAAGTCACAGATTTTTGTACCTGAAAATTCACAAACGTAATTCGCAAAATATGTCAGTTCAAACCTTTTGAATTTACATTACCACGATGCAAATCTCATCTTATGAAAAACTGAAAACCCATTCTATATGTTTTGGTCATGAGTTACTGCCATTTGAAAACTAAATCATTCAGATTCAAATTGTTGCAAAAGCAGTTTGGTCAAGACACACAAAAAAAGACTCCAGTTTGACACATTTTGCTTAATTGAAGCTTACCTGAAATGAGGCCGCCTTTTGTATCGCAACAGAAGATCTTCTTGAAAGCCTTTCGGTACGACTTAGCCCTCCACGCGTAGATGATGGGATTCAGGGCCGAGTTGGTGTAACCGCTCCAGTAAGCGACAACGTTCAGAATGGTGGGGATTCGATGAAAGCCCAGGGAGAACCCCAAGCATGAGTACACAAAGTAAGGCGTCCAGCAAATGAAGAACGCGACGAAAACGATGAAGAGGGTGATGGTGATGCGTTTCTGCTGGTGGAAAATCTTGTCCTCCGTCATGTTGGTGTGGCTGCGAAGCCGCCGGCTGTATTTGCGAATCGTGTTGAAAATGACACTGTAGGCAATGATGAGACATGTCAGAGGGATGACAATGCCGACCAGAGGAACGTAAAATCCGATTAATTTCTCAGAGATTTTTTCTGGGTACTTGGGCCCGCACTGGGAGGTTCCAGGTTTGTAGACGTTCTCGGTGAGCCCAATCAATGGGCCGATGGCACAGGTGAGACCGATGAACCAGGCGAAGGCGACCATGCAGATAGCACGACGCAGGTTGACAAGGCGTCTCAACGGCAAGACGAGTGAGGAGAACTTGTGCAGGGCGATCGCCATCAGCCCATGGGTGGAGGCCACTAGGAACAAGGCCTCAAAGAAGGCGTTGGCATTGCAGAGCGCTGGGCCAAAAGTCCAGTCGCCCTGGATGACAGTCAGAAGCGAGAAGGGCATGCAGAGAACCGAGACTCCGAGGTCCGCGCAGGCCAGGTTGGTGATGAACAAGTTGGTCTTGCTCCGCATCCCTTTAAAGAAGACGATAGTCAGGATGATGAGGGAGTTGCCGATGATGCTGATCACCATGATGACTGACAGTATCACGGCTAAAACAATAACGATGGGCAGGTCCCAGTACGGTGGCTGTAGTCCTGGAGCCTCCTTGGTAGAATTAGTGGCATTGGCAGGGTCCCAATTTGTAAAATCTAAGATGTTAAAAGTACCAGTCGTGTCCATTGTGGAACTGCCCGACACTGCCATAATATAGACAGTTTCGGTGTCTACCTGACTCATAAGAAGTCAGACACTTTTCTCAGAAGGCGTTTTTCCCTCTAAGTTTAAGACACTGGAGGCAAGATCACTTTCAATCCATTTTCTAAAGAAAAGAAAAGGGCAAAATGAAAACAAAATGTTGTATTATTTATGTCTGTTTCAAGAACTGTAGCTACATTTGAAATGAATGCATGTTGATCATTTTGTAAATCTAGGATTCAAAATGTGGATTCAAAGAGTGTCCCCGTATCATTTGTACTTGATAATTTGCCATTCAAGTATCAATGAGAATGACTTCCAATGATTTCTGTAAAAATTTGTTGGTTACTTTGTTATTCATAATCCCTGTAGGAGGACAAATGCATTAAGGAGTGCATCAGAATTATAAAATCATAGATGTCAGATGTAACGGGGACAGGAAAAAGTGGACTCCAAATTTATAGAATGACCAACAAATTACGCATGCAGTACTGGTAGGTAGCCTTATGCTGAAAGTTAGACAAATTTATCAATTAATTATGAAAAAAAAGAAAAATTAAAAAATTGATGGCAGAAATGGACTTCAGTCTCATTACTTTAATGACAAATGAACGAAACGTGACTTCGTCGTCCAAATTCTGGCTCACTGATTCTAAAATATATCCATTGATAATCCTGTATCACTGCACTAGATGTAAGTGCACGTACCTGGTACCGGTACATACGTGTAATCTTAATGAGTCATGACTGCACGCATCATCCAGGTGATTTTCAGCAAACAGGTTGTCATGAAGAAAACCCATTATAGTCTCCCATAGCTACAGCACATTTACTGAGCCAGCTTCATGAGGGATGAATTGAAAGCTGGGAATTGTGGACATTTTACAATCAGGAAATCTTTCTCTCCCACGCCAGCTCATTATTATAATTGCTGGAACATGGTAGTGCAGGCAGATCAAGTGTATTCTTAAGTCTGACCCCCTACGATGTATATTTACACATATTTTGCATTAAGTTACATTAAAAGATTAATATCTACTAGCTAACCTCAGAATAGTTTTGTTGCTCGTTTTTTCTTTCTGTTTAACTCCTTACACTACTGCTGGGCAAGTAACTCAATTACTTTAGTACTCGCGAGTAGTTTATACTAGTTACTAGTTGTTCTGCTCGTGGTTTTTCATCTACTCGAGTACTCGCCCTACAGTGGCCGTTCTACGGGGGGGGCTAGGGGGGCTTTAGCCCCTACAAAATTTTGTCTAGCCCCCCAAAAAAAATTCCATAAAAAAAAAAATTAAGGCCCCCCCCCCCCCCACCTATTGATTTTCGGAGGCCTAAGTGTCTGGAGAAAATAACCGGTCTGCATTTCAGCACACCTACCTGAAAAAATGTCTGGATCCACCCTGCTAGCCTCCCCCCCAAAAAAATATGGGCTCTAGAACCGCGCCTGTCGCCCTAATGCGAGTAGAAGCAGCTACTCGCGAGTAGCAATTGCGGGTTTAGGGTTCACAGCTTAATACGTCCCCTGCAAACAGGGAATCACTCCCTCCACCTCTCTCTCCCTGGGATTACAATCGTCAAAAAAAATAACTCAAGTAAATGACCCAAAACGTCGCACAGTAAGGATATCTCAGTGCTGAAGAATGTGGCCCGACGTGCATGTTAGTTGCTAGTAGTTATTTTCCATCATGTGCAAGCCTAGTACTCAACTTCTCACGAGTAATTTCATTGCGAGTACCCCAGTAACATGCATCCACTTCTCGCCCAGGCCTGTACAAAGCTTCTCAATAAAAATATCTATTTCAACAAATCAACTTTCTAGAAATGTTTGCTGTTGTCTCAATAGCCTGGCAAACATACCCTGCAAGACCAAAGTGCAGTGGTTCCGCCATTTATTAAACCAAACTAAAAATACTCCTTCATCACTAAATTCTTTGAGCGAATGCCATTTGAGAAGCCTTTGGCATACAGGGCTCACTTTAGGAAGAAATTGAGCTTTTGATCCTTCGACCCCTTGATCGTCTAGCCATAATCCAACCAAAAAGGAAATCTGTCACAAACACATCCAAAGCATGTCACTTTCCATTGCCCAATGCCTCCATTTGTTATTTCCAAAGTTTCCCCCCAGAGGAGCAACAAGCAGTGTTCCATGTTATTACATTTTGCAGTCGCCATCTGTCTTCGTTAGGCATTAATATCCAGAAATTTATGAAGGTGGGGGAGGGATGGAAGGGTGGGTGGAAGCACTAATACTAAAATGAACCTCACTAAATTATTTGGGGGCTAATAATTTGTTCCAAAGACCGTGAGCGTCAGGTGTACGTTTCACATTTTGACGAATTTTCGTAACCTTTCCAAATTATGTATGTAACCATTGATGCCAAAATGACTTATGGGATCCTCTTTTACATGTACACGTTTTACTGCCTTCGCCTTCGCTCTCGTTGTTTTTTATGACATTTTAATCCTGGCCATATTCTTGAAAATGCCATGAAGCCATTTCTGACCGAATATGCCACAAATTGAGCCCCGAGGATAAATTTTTAATTATATAATCAGCTACAGTCGTTAAGCCCAGTTCATACTTCACACGAAAGCAATTTTGTGCAAAGTGCAATTCATGTCGTCACCAATGGTGGACGCACTTCGAACGTATTGTTAGCGTCACGATTTCGCTTCGCCTTCGTGTGAAGTATGAACCGGGCTTTAGAATGAGCATTCCGAGCCCTTCATTTTTAAACACCAGTCAGTTTGACATTTTAGGCCTAATAAATCGCCTGGCAGAGTGGCATGACACGCGCTTACGCCCTTACACGTGAACATGTAATCACCAAAAAGGTTCCAGCAAAAGGGCATGTATCCAGAAAACCGCCGCTATTTTAATGAAATTTACAATTTTCATCACCACAAATTGTTCCAAAAAAGTATGATTTATACGTGTGACAAATTTAAAATTCGTACAATTTATAATACGCGTGGGAGAACAATGGATTCATAATATGCGTAGGGGGACACTGGAGCCTTTCAATGCAATTTTCTTGAAGCGATTTGTCACGTCAGAATGCTCATATGCCCTTCTGCCAGGCACCCAACGAAATAGGGGCCTATTCAGGTGAAATGTTGACAATTTCAATTGACTTGGAATTTCAATTGATTTGTACTTTTTTTCAGGCAGTCAACTCCCTACTGTCTAAGTTTTACTAAGTACAAAGTACTAGGCCAAGCCTGCAATAGACCATCAATCACACTGCTTCCAATGCATGCTTTAGGCCTGCAGGCCTAAGCCCATACTCTATCAATATTTATAGTCAAACCAGGCCTGGCCTGCAGTACCAAGTCCCCCAAAACCCACCCAAAAGGCGGAAGATAATGTAAACCATTTGCAAACATTAAAATCGAAACTAGTAAATATTATGAAATAGCTTTTTGGCATGTGCTTGGTATGCTAGCTACATTCATGCAAATATGCATTTTTTTGGTGGGTTTTTTTCCATGACACAGCTGGCACTCAGATTTGCCCTGGTCCTGTGCCCGACTAAAGTTTCGACGCACGACGGATTCAGTGAGCAGCACTTTAAACGCTGCAAATCAACAGCATTTTTTCATGTTTTTTCCAGCTCCAATGGACACAAAACATAGAACAGGTCAGTGGAATGATGTCTTTGATAGATCAGTGACGGCCATTTTCTGAGCTGGCACCAGGCTTACTTCAGTCGCCCAGGTAACTCCGGACTCCTCCAACCAATAGGAAGATGCGCACGTGCCTCGTCTTTAAGAACGCGTGCGGCCTGCGCCTGTGTGGGGTGCCACACGAGAAATGGCTTCTAATTTAGTTCGGCGAACTGCAGTTCAAGTTACGAGCCCTTAGCTTGGTCCATTTCATGAAATTAAAATAAAGGCAAATGGTATTAATTACTAACAGATCAGATTCAGAAGGTGAAGTTATAGACGCATAGAATCCTCAGGAACAATAATTGATTGCAATTAGATACATAAAAAAATGTACGCAATAAATGTATGATTCAAGTCCATTGGGCAAGTCCCACAAGATACATACATGTACATACACACAAAAACTTCATAGAACCAACAAGGCGTGTTCAATTTTCTGCATCACTTATCTAAATTTTTCCTTCATTTCCTCTTGGCTTTTGGTCCGAGTCTACCAGTTAGTCTCCACATTTTTTTTTGGGGGGGGGGGGGATTCTGGAGCCATTCCTTTCATCCGAATCTACCCACCTCTGTAAACAATTCTTTTCCCAAAAGACCAAAACAATGTTGCTCAAGGCAGATTTCCAGTAAAGCCAGTATACAATTGCTCCTTTGGAATTTCTGGTTCACAAATCAAGGATCAATTGTGCCAATTTCTTCTCCTTGTACCGGAAATGTGACGTTCTTTTTCATGGAAAGAGGTTAATGACAGAACATTAAATCCTTGAACTACTTTTTTTGGGTATGTTTTACATCTTTGAACAGGATAGGATGTGGGAACTTGGAAACTGGTTACATGGACGGAAGCAAATGGGCAAAAGTGGCTTTTGTGTAGTAGTGTTGCTTTATTTACGGGTATATACGGTAGTACCAGGGAACCCTATTGAAGTACATACATGTAAAACACAGGTACCCGGTACCCGTAAAATTCAAATCCCAGAAGTTGTCTGAAGGGCTTTATGGCTCTACAGTGTCGCACATTAAAACGCACATAAACTTGAAATCTGTTTTGGTTTTCCGTGTAGCCTGGTTTTCGTTTTGAAAATTCCCCACAAATGGCATTCAAAACCTTTCTTTTTCATTGTCTGAGAAGTTACTAAGTGAAATTTTTAAAGATGCATGGTAACGGGTAGCTGATCTCATACTGAATCTGGAACCGGTTCCTGACATCCAGTTCCCGACATCAGCGGCTGAGTACTCGATTACTCAGTTACTCAGTTACTCAGGTACTCGGGTACCCGGTTCTGATGCATACTCCCATTCTTTTCTAATATTATTTTCTCGTATCATCATCATCATCATCATCAGTCTCCAAATTCAGCTATGGGACGTTGAGCCACCCACGCCAACCGATCAGTCGAGATGCATGAGCCACAGGGCAGGGGCCGCGTGGTCGTGACCAACCAGGATCAGGCTTGACTCCTGTAGATGCATCATCAATTTCAATTTTGAAATATTAGAAAAAAGGCCATCTGCAATTTCGATATCAGAGGGAACTTGATTTTTGGATGATATTACTTTAATAACGAAGCCTAGCTGCACGCTATTTTTTTGTGGTGTGTTTTCTTCATATTCAGAATAGGGCATTTCCATTTTAAAACTATATTTTTAATTGAACTGAATGGCATTTGATGCAAATACTGGTAAATTAAATCTCCATGACTGAAAAGTTACAAAAGAAACAGACAAACATCGCCACCATCATTTCACTATCAAGACTCGATTTGTTCCTCATATTAAAAACACAAAATCTGACCAAAAAAAATAATGTTTCAGACTCAAATTAGCAAAATCTCATTTGAGTGCCTGTGTGTAATATCTGGTTCTCAACCAGGTGAATAGCTTAAAAGCAAGCTCTGTAAAAAAAAAAAAAAATTACAATAACATTCATAACTTCTGAAAGCACTGGATCAATTGCAGTAATTCATTTTTGCATTTGAGTGGTAGAACATGCTCGTTTAATACAAGTTTCATTGAATCAAATTTAATTGCTCTTTATATGGGGAAAATCATTAATCCAGGTCACTTTCTTTTTGACTCACTCACCCTGTATTGAAAGAAATCCCGCTTTTGCCAGGAATAATAGAACATTACGTTCACAGGTACCGCTAGAGTCCACAATGTAGACACATAGAGATTGTCTTTTTCTCAAATGTACAAAATCAACACCTCTGCAAGCAGGCTTCACGCTGATGTGTTCCGCTTTCAATTCTCAATGCAAACCATTAAATTACCAAGGTTTTCCAAATGAACAATTGAAATTAACAAAAGGCAAAACAGCAAAACCAAATCCTATCATGAACACTTACCGAGATGCGAGTGCTGTGAATTGACCGGATGAATGAGACACCGAGATACGAGTGCTCTGAAATAACCGGTTGAATGAGACGGGAACAGAAAGTCCACACTTCAATCAAAAGCCCTCCACTTCACAATGACGGCCCACCTCTGCCAATACCCGGATACGAGTGCAGCGGACTTAACCAATTCACTGAATGAGACTATTACCAGTTCCGTCGGCCACAAAACAGAAACCACCTCTGGCAATAACCAGCATGACACAACTGGTGGATGCATACAGTGCAATGTACCACACTGATCATGGAGCTATAATGCACTGATCAACACAAAACTGTGCGCAATCTCTTGAGTACATCTGAACTCCAGTATATCGTCTGATCATGCGCGGAATCGAGTACCGAGTAAACCGTTACTCAGAATTCCGTAATTAAAATGTATACGCATGGTAAACCAATTAGCCGTGGCAGTAAAAAACAACTATCATCAATTTTCAAGTGGACACTAGTGCAATGATGTAAGTTGAGGGTTTCTCTTCACAACAAGAATCTGGCCAATGTGCAACGTGGGTGAGCGAGCTCGTGCAGTGAGGCATGAAAGTGAACAGGACTTTTACAACTTCTTAAGAGTACTTGAGATTAGACCAGGGATGAAAATAGAGGCCGAACAAACAGTCTTAGCTTGTGAAGGCAACCATAAATTAAGAGAGGAACTACCAGTACTAGTCTATAGTCACACACTGACACTGCTGATCTCTGTACTTTTCAACAAGGACCACAGAGTTGTTCAAGTACACGTATTATGTAAAACTTCCTTTGCATGTTTCCTCTTTCCTGATAAGACGTCAGGATTTTAGACGTAAATTACGGACCTGTCTGATATGATGTCAAGATGAAGTGATCTTCATGATGTCATGAGGTTATTTTATTTATTTGGCCATTAGGACACATGGATCATTGCCAGTACTGCTATTTTCTCATTAAAAAAAGTACATATGTACATGATTTGAATGTATCTCAATTGAACTGAACAATTTTAATATGTGCATAATGTAGCATTAATTCACAATGCAGTGGTGCTAGGCCAAATTTTTTTAAATTGTTTTTTGTTTTTTGGGGGGGGGGTCTTTTTTGGGGGGGGGTAAATTTGAAATGAAGATACACTGTATATCACTAATAAATCTTCAAGCACCTTATTTTAGTAAGTTATTTCAAAACATTCTTTTGTTTTCAGTAAATTTTTAATGATGTTCAAAATGCCTAAATTCAAAATTGTTCAACAAACTTGTTCTACAACCTTGTTCAAATTGTAGACCCAAATTGTGAATAATAATAAATGCTCTTTTTTCCCCTTCTTTTTTTTGAGGGGGGAGGTTACACTTTATGCTGCTGAATTTTTTTTTGTCTGCCATTAAAAAGAAAGAAAGAAAAGGAACATCAGTGATACACATTTATTTAAATATGTTTGTAATTAAAGTTCCTGGCTACATGGATACAAGATCATAATCTTAGATTCCAGAAATTTCCACATGTGTGTTTGCTAGATCCGGCTCGATTGAGTGGATTCTATTTTTGCTGTGTCCCCTCTAAGGCCAAAAAAAAAGTCTCCGGTTTCTGGTATGCGCGCGCGTCGCCGTAGCCATGCGCGTCGGCAAAATGAAAAAGGTTTTTTTTCAATAAAAGATGATGTCTCAAAACCGCCAAACCCACTGGTTTGACTGGAATCCTGCTGCTGCACAATTTTAACGTGTTTTTAGATGGGGGTATGATCGAGAATAAGCTTTATGTGGACTCTCTGGACTCCCGTACATTTTGCACTAAGTTTAGTCGGGCACCATTTGCAGTCATCAGCCGACATTTGAAGCAAAAAAGTCAGGTAAAAAAAAAAAAAAAGCCGCGTCGCCGCACCACTTTTTGGGCAAGCTCCATACCAGAAACCGGAGACTTTTTTTTTTGGCCTAACCTCATTAAGACACTATTCTCTTAAGTAGGCAGTTTGACAAGAAGGGATCCATTTCTTGGCACAGATTCTAAACATTCCAGATCCAAATCCTACCTTCCGGCCGGTCTACAAATACACACGTTTTAATGCTTTTCCAACGACGACAGGAGACATTTATCAGGAAAGTCCATAACTTGCTATCTCTGCAGGGTTCCACTTCACAGAACCGCATGACACACTACAAATAGGAATGTCCATTCATCTGCTCCAATATTTAACTGCCACTTCTGTTTGGACTGTTTGCCTTCCTCTTGAGTTTTGGGTTCAGTCAACTAGATAACAAGTTAATAATCCTGGCAGCTTGACTACTGTTACATGCTGATCTTTGACATTTGTTTGCTTTGAAAATCAAGGAATCAGATAGACTTACATTGACTTTTATTTACATAAGAAATATTAGGGCTCTCAGCACTTTATAAAAAAAGAAGTTCCCTGATTTTTTTTCTTCTGATATTTCCCCGAGAAATTTCCAAAATTCCACGAGAAATATTTTCACTTAAACAAAGTTGCTGCAAGTTCAAGAGCAACATGTAGCATTTAGCCAATTTCTGTTCCAAGAATCTCCATGCAATTGGGCTCATGAGCTCAGCAACACAAGTTTCTGCTGTAAACTGAGCCTCCATCTATTTCATGGAGACCGTACGGTACCATGTAAGTAAGCACCGCACAAAAAGATGCTTAACCCCAGAGGAAAAAAATTGCTTAAATCAGTGATGTAACAATAGAAATCCCCATGCACGCTCAACTGTTGGCACATCCACGCCATGAAAACTTGCTTAATTAAGCATCTAGGGCTGTGCATCGGAACCGGGTTCCCGACCGCTGATGTCAGGAACCGGTTCAGATTATGGGATCCTGCACCCCTAACCAACTTTTTCAAATTACTTAGTACATGTAACTTCTCGGACAATATAAACAAGTTTTGAATGCCACTTGTGGGAAATTTTCAAATTGAAAACTAGCAGGATACATGGGAAAACAAAAGTAGATTTCACGTTTATGTGCATTTTAACGCGCGAGTTGCAGTTTGCATCGTAAAGCTATAAAGTAAAGCTATAAAGCCCTTCAGACAAATTCTGGGATTTCAATTTTGTGGTTAGGTTTCTTTTACGAGTACCCATTTACCCGTGTTTTACTTCAATAGGCTCCAGTACTACCGGTACATGTATATACTGGTAAAATTATTAGGTTAACAGCGCTATGAAATTGGCCCTCGACTTTCAGTCAACTCTGCACGTGTTCAGCCATGGTGAACTCTAGACAGACATAATTACACAGTACATGTGCTGGTTACATGTTTTATTTGGTCTTCTTCTCAACCAGACCCATTTTGTCTGATTATATCAATCATCCTATTCCACATGACCAACTGTTTGTGGATGGACTCAATTAATAATCTGACCATGGATAGTTCATAACAACAGGGTCTGCACACTATCTGGGACCTGATGAATTTATGTCACGGTGTGCGTGTTTATGGTGTAAATCGAGGATGCACAGGTGCAATATCATCTGTGAATTGAGGACAGGGACCAAATCGAGGATGACCTCGATCAAAAAACGTGTACAAAACCAATGAGAGCTGCTGCAAAAAAGTTGGTATGAACAAAGGAAAAGGAACAATAGAAAATTCTCGATTTACACCATAAACAAAGGTGTGTGTATGTATGCGTTTGTTTATGGTGTAAATCGAGGACACACACATGCAACATCATCGATGAATTGAGGACAGGAGCCAAATCAAGGACTCCTCAGTTAGAAAACCTGTACAAAACCAATGAGAGCTGTATAAACGAGAAAAGTATACACAAAGGAAAAGGGAAGAGGAACAATAGAAAATCCTTGACTTGCACCATAAACAAACATGGGTGGACATGAGTTTTGTTTCTGCATTCAATGGGGGACGTTGAACAACTTAGGACAATAGGGTCCCCAAGTCCCGAGAGGTTCCCAATTTGGATTCGTGTACAAAACATATGGGAGGTCTTCCTAAAAAGTTAGTGCAAAACAAAAGGGGAACAATAGGGGGTCCCCGATTGCAGGCAAACACTGTACACTGCATGTACAATGCAGAATTGATGATTGAGTATGCTGATACAAGTGAATCTTTTTCTAAAGTCTCTATTTCTTCATTTCATCATCATCACTGTTATTCATAAAGCAATGATGACTTGATAAGCTTCACTCAATGTTTCTTCAATAATTGTATAAAGTTCAAAATTGATTTTGAAATCAAAGTATCAACTTACTCTGGAAATTTATCTATTAAGTTATGTTAATTAATGGGGACAGCAGAAAGTCCCCATAACTGTCCTAATTTGCTTAACAATAGAAAAACCTTCCCCATAGTTGATGTACCGGTAGGCCTGCACATTTTGACAACTTGTTGTTTTACACATGTTATTGGTCCAAGAATCTTGCATTTAAGCTCTAAAATGAGAGCACTGTGTCTCCTTCAGATTTATTCATGAATTTTGTATAAATTTCACGTCAAGCATTTTCGGTCCCCGCAAATACCTCGTACAGACGAGTGTATGTCCCCACAACTTTGTAACAGTTTTTGGAGCAACTTAAATTCATAACAACACAATTAGGCCTACATCATAAAGGCTGATTTATTGACATTTTTGATCAAAATCATGTGAGACATTTGCATTTTTACATACCGGTACTCCTTGCATACTGTGGCGGGCGTCCTTCTAAAATGCACCAACAGCAAAAATAATAGCTGCGTATAAAATATTCACGTACAGTAAAATGTGCATGCAGGTTAACCATTTAAGAATCCTATTTCAAGGGGTGTGCATTTACGGGTAGTACAGGAACCAGGTACCCTATTGAAAAAAAAATATGGGTACCCGCACTTAAAGAAACCCTTGAAGCCAACAATTCAAATCTGGAAAGTTGCTGTTCAGATTGTTCGGTGTGGCAATACAGATCGATAGGGTGTAGGCCTATACATGTACCACCATGTGGTGAAAACTGCAACTTTCGCAAGAACCTTAAAGCTTGAAATTGGTTTTGCTTTTCCATGTATCCTGTTTTTCAATTTGAAATTTTCCAACTGACTTTCAAAAAGTTTCTTTTTCATTGATTGAGAAGTTACTAAGTAATTTGCAAAGTTGGTTCCGGATATACTCAATTCCATAAGTTGGAAGCGGTTCCTGACATTAACGGTCGGGTACTCGGGTACAGCCCTATTTCAACACGAGCGATACTGCTAGACTTGAAAACTCCCCACTTGTTTAAAGGGAATATACATCATTTGCTTTTGCTGTAATTTTCAGAAATGGATGGAAATGGGGGGTTGGAAATATATAGCAAATATAGTTACACTGACTTTTTGAGGTTTTGGGTTCGAAAATGCTATAAAAACCAAGAAAAACAATCATTTTCCTGTAGTCTGGTTCCCTGACTCCATTTAAGAAGAAACGGAGCAGTTTACATACATTGGGGAATTGTAAGGTCAGGGAACCAGTCTAGCTGGCTAGTACCCGTTCATAGGTGTGTAATCGATTGCAAACAAGTGTGATGGTCAACTGGGGCCAGTATTTGAAAAAAAGCCAGTTTTTTCCAACGCTGGTCGGCCGATCAGCGTTGGAAATTGATACAAAAATACCACTTTTCTTGAAAATGACAGTATACCAGGTGCCATGATTTTACAGGATGCTTTACACTGTCATTCACTAACAGTCCAGCAAGGTATTTCAAAATGATTTGGTAGTTTTATTTTTTGATGTTTGCAAATGTTG